GTAGTAACTGTAGGAGTGATTGCTAATAATGTTTCTCTTCTAGTGTAGTTTTTACCTTTTGTGTGTTTATAGAGCAAGAATAGGTTAATTATTCATGACTGCGAGTATTGATTCTAGAGCACGAGTTAGTTTATAGAGCGCTGCGGTGATTATAATTTACACTGGGTTTGTAACAAATTGGCGGTTATATACAATGTTACAGACCATTAGAGAAACACTATCTGGTTAGATGTAAGAGGAGCATCTGGATGAAAACCTTAGATAAATCTTCTAAATTTAAATGTTGCTTTCAATTAAAGTTATCTTTGATCTCATTTTAGTAAGTTCGTCCTATTTATTTATATTTTCCATTTTTGGTTTTATTTTTAATGTTACTCTGAAAGTATAGTGATATTTTGAACATTTTTATTAACAATGTAAAATATTAGTGAAGATTTAATTTGAGGAAAACATTATCTTAATACAGTGCCCTACGTTCTGTATCTTTTAATGTTACTCTAAAATTGTAATGATATTTTTAACCTTTTTATTCAAAATGTAATATAATAAAAATTTAAATTTAAATTGAGGAAATAACTTAATACAGTGGCCATTATGTTGCTTTGGATCTTTCTGAGAGATTGTTTTAAATTCCTAAATAAACATCTGTGGGGGAACATATTTACATAGAAATATTCTTTGTAGTCACGAAGTAGTTATTACACATTTAGCAAATATTAGATGATTGAATGATTGAGCTGAATGAATGCCCACATGCATACATTATAAGCATTTGGATACACACACGCCCACGTGCACGTCCATGCAGATACTGTACAGTATGCCCAACATATGATAGAGTTAAAAGGTAGGAAATAATCTGTGACTTGTAGCTTTAACTAGGCTGAAATGCGTACAGACATGGACCAACTCATTCATGTGGACCAACTAAAAGATCATGAAGATCAGCTTTTTGTTACTTATTGATAGCCTTGGCGTCCAAGCATCCAGGTTTATATAATATAACGGCCTTATGTTTTCCTTTAAATTTAGAATATTTTGCATAATATTATTATTTAAAACATGAAATAATATAATCTGGTCTAGAGAAAGTTTATCTTCCAAGATATATTGTCATTTTGCCAAAAATTTTCTCAACTGGAGTCCAAGCACATAACCATTAAATCAGTATTCGGTTGTAAATATAGTTTTGAATCCCATAAAAAATATTGGGACATTTTCATGTCACAGTTCCATATTTAGCAACTCGTGCTTCATTAGCATTGCTGGTGACATTACAGGCTTCCCGAAGAGATCTTTCCCGTAGGCAGTCTATCTTTGTGCTTGCTTTCCTTGTGCTTGCTTTCCGCAAGGTATCTTGTACTTGGTAGGTGATACCCAAAGAGCTAATTGAGTGCAAAATAACAGATAGAACTTCAAACTTGAGAATTATCATAGTGCACAATAACAGTCCAATCATGCAAGGAATGCTCATGATATTTTAATTGCTCAAATATTTGTAATAGCAACATGTAAACTACTAAATGGACGACTACTGTACATACTTTAACTGATTAAAGCTTCTATTGTTGATGAAATATATACTGCAGGTATTCGATTATCAATTAATGTTAAACTAACGAAACACTGCAGAGGTGATGTAACAATCTTTAGGGTAAACAAAAATATATTAAAATTTTATATACAAAGTTTTGCAATACTATATTGTGCATAAGCCCAACTTGGGTGTACTGTAAGCCCACCCACTACTTTACATTCAGTTGAAGTTGAAAGTGTTTCCCTGGAAAATGTCCAAGTTATGGTTTTAACGAGCTTAGCTAGCTTTATATTTAGTAATTTTAGATTAAAAAAAAATTGAAGATTGGTATGTTAATGTATGTACTGTATGTCTTTAATTGGCCAGGAAAAAAAAATGTTTTTAACAGTGTAATATGCACACTCTCCTCAAAATGTTATGTTCCAATTGGGTGGCTTATACCCAAAGAACTACGGTATAAGAACTTTAGCAAGACTAACTTTCGACTTTAAAATGGCCATTAGATAAATCATAGTTTTTTTTTGCAGATTTCCTCTGGGCACGTCATAAACGTGAAGGGCTTAATTTGAGGTACTTAAGAGACACTTGAATGCATATTTTGTATCAGCTGTAGCATGGATAATGTAGCCCAGGAGGTGGCCTAGCTCAACGTAAATCACTCCAAAACTGGTCTCCCACTGATAAGGCCAAAATTCATTATTTCAACTTTCATGCCAACATTGTTTTTGTTTGTTTTGCGTGGTATTACGTCAGCAATGCAATAGCCGGATTCAACGGTGTTTTTACAAGTTGAATTTAAACAAATAAGAACCAGCGAACCCAATGATAAGTTCAGATTCAATTAATTTCTGATTATATCAAGGTATTCTGAAGTTTATGTTATATAATGACTGTTTAAATTCTTAGATGTACTTGAGTGGCAAATAATCTGAGTTTATTTTATGAACGTGCTCCTGCTGTATAAAGTAGATGTAATGATGCATGTCGAAGCTAGTAAGATTGAGATGGGCAGTCGTCAGAGTTATAATCAATGAAAATAATCAGAACATTGCTTTCAAAACATGGTTCTTAGAATCTCTTTTAAACATTAATGTTTTTTCATTGCTAACGTATTATACAGCTGCATTTAGATGTCATGTCTGTTTAGAAAAGATAGAGTGGGTGGAACACCTTTTACAATAGTCAATAACTGAACACCCTTAAACATAATGAAAAATGTCGAAACCAGGGCATATTCTGTAGTACTAACCGAAAATAAAATAAAATAAAAATGAAATCCCAGGAAAATCAAAAACATTAGTCAGCCTGTTGATTGATTTTTCATCAAATTTTGTCTATAATATTCTTTCTTTGAATCGCAAGAGGTCTGACTTCCGAGATTTTGTACTGTATGCACTCAATGAAATATTTAAAATGTACAGTTCCACAAATAGTAACATATATATAGGAGCAATGCAGCACACGTTCGATACAAATGCCTCTTACAGTACATTCTTTTTGAAGTATGCCTTCTAGTTTTGTGGTAGTGCTTTTTGTGATAGGATTACATCCCAATGAAATGAGAGTCAGACCTTCTAAAACCCTCTGAAAGCAATGTTACAATCAGAAGTGATGTAAAGAAATAAAGCTATGGTATAATGGTCAATGTGCCTGTTTTTTAATCCCAGGATGTTATGTTCAATCTTTCTATTCTTAGCTGTATTTAATCTACAGTACTATACTGTGTCAAATTTCGTGAGATTTGGTTGTAGCATAGAAGTAGTTAATATAAAGAGGAAACTACAATCTGTACCTATATACACTAATAGAGTTGCAGTCATCATAAAAAATGCATTAAACCGTCAATTGGTATCACACACCATTATCAATTACCCACAGGCAAATATGCAAATTAAGACAGTGGTCATTGTTAACTGAGTGAAGAACACACTGGCGACGCTTTAGTGGTTTCATATCACAGGATTGCGATTCAAGGTAAATAATATAGAATAATGAAAAATTTGAAGATGGACATGATTCAGTTTATACAGTAATACATTTGGAAATTATACACATTATCACAGTCTGCTGTGCAGTATGCTGAGCCACAAGCTAGATAGGGCTAGCTATCGATATACTATTATCTTTAGAGGTCATAGGTTGTTGGTTTAGAACATCTGAACAAATAGCGCCGAAAAGTGAGAGGGTGAATGTGAACATTAGAAGTACTCCATAACTTGTGCAGATCATAAGGTTAATAATAATGACTCAGATCTGAGGTTTTGCCAGACTAACCACATCAGGCCCTCAAAAAAGTGAGGACTTTGACATGTGACCTAATCAAATGAAAATCAGAATGCCAATTTAAAAGCAATTTTCTGTTGCATGCTGATATATAATATATATATTCGGCTCTTAAGGGGAAACTCTTTTGTCTATTATTTCCCCTTATCTTCGTTTTAGTTTCCCCTTAGCGATACTACTTTTTCCTTAAGGTACTGTTTTTAACCCTCTTCATTGTTTTAGTTTCTTCCTATGGATACTTCTAAGCTCCTATATATATGTTACGTGTTATCGCTGAGGAAGAGCACAGGCTTGCTCAATATATTCGAAATAAAAAATTATCTTATGCCTATTATGTCAACGTATACGACTCTACTTTGTGCATTCGTACTCATTTTATGTTATATACTATTTCCTACCATAGGGGGAAACGATAACAATGGAAAGCGTTAGACATAACACCTTAAGGTGAAAACACTGCCGCTAAGGGGAAATTTTAATGACGTTAAGGCTGTCTCTTATACACATCTAGATGTGTATAAGAGACAGATTATAAACTCGGATATATATATATTTGTTAATTGTTCAAGTTACGTAAACAGTGTGATTAAATATTATATTAGAAACAAAATTATTTTATAGTATTTTACAAGTAAGGATATTGAATCAACAATGTTGATGCTTTGTGGCCTGTGACTAACAAATGTCAAGTTCTTGAGATTGAACTTTAGCAGTAAAATTATGGCGTTATCTGCACATTTTGAAGCCATAAAAATGATTTGTGGATATTTGTGTGCAGAGTACATGATAAATAACATTGAGATATGTTACCATAAGCAACTCTTCATATTTGAATACGTAATTATGTGAAATAGAATTTCTTTTTTATGATTATTTAATATTATATAAGTAAGTAGTCATTTATATAAATGTATATAGTTTGTATCAGCCAATGACAGTTGTGTTACATCATCTGTTAATATTCCTTGGCGTGTGGATGCAATTATTTTAAATAATTTTGATGGATTTTTTGCTCAGATTTTGTGTACATTTCATGCGTTGTTTTTTTAAGTTTTGTCAATTTTTTTATGCCAAAAGGAGTAAAATAGAAAACATAAGATTATAATTAACAGTATAATTATATTTGAGAAATTATATAAATAAAATATTAATAAAGATAATTCTTTATTTATGTTTACAGGAAATGGAGGGAAACGAAAGGGAAGAAGCAAAAAATGGAAACAAATCCTGAAATTTCCGCATATATCTCTCTGTCAAAACTTAAACATAGGTAAGTTTTATTGTCTCACTTAACTCGTTTCAAAATAGCTTGCTCATCATATGACGTCACTGTCTCGCATAAGTACGTTTCAAAAGGTCATTGGGCCACACAATTCCTTGGTTTTTCTCACTTTCTAGGCCACTTAATTCCCTGTTTCTTACTTTCTAGGCCACATAATTTCTTCGTTTTTTTTCAACATCCTAGGCCACATAATTCTGTAACATTCTTGCATTCTAGGCCACATAATCAGACCCAATTTATCCATGGGCGTTGATTTGCATCTGTTACACCAAGATGATCACTTAACTCCCTTTTAAACAGCTATCCCATGACGTCATTGTCTCACATAAGTGCATTTTAAAGGTCAGCTGATGCGTATAGTTCTGTAAAATTATGCTACAGTACATTGCTGAATTACATCCATTCAAAAAAACGGAAACCTCAGGATGCTTCATTTTCAGAAGGCATGGAAGAATAAATACATACTAAAAAATCATATCACCACCTTAAATTTTAATGAGATCTGTGATATCTATCAAAGTGCTTAGTTGTCTTATGTTTTTTTTTCCTAATTTCTAGGATTTTAGTTCTTTCGGTATATTTCAACACAAATTATTTTAACTAAGCAAATTTTTTATTGCCTGTTTTTTTTTATTTCAAGAAATGGAAATAGATTTTTTCTCATTTTTTTTACCAGATATTCTAGGCAACATTATTCTTTGTTCCTCATTCCCTCGGCAACATAATTTTGTGTGATTATGGCATCGCAGGCCTCATAATTTTGTGTGATTGTTGCATCGCAGGCGACATAATTAGGCGTGATATGTTGCATTGCAGGCCACACATAATTCTACATCATTCTTGCATCCTAGGCCATAAGACCCAATTTGTCCCTGGGCACTGACCTGCATTCTGCCTGCCTACCAAGACCTGCCTAACTATACTTAGCATAATATTGTCGTTCGATTGACCTACAAATTGTTGCAGGTTATTAAGAATGTGACACAGGAGGATTCGATTGGAATTTTTACTACCAATGAAGTAATGTAGCATAATGTATATTACAGTATAATGTTAAGTAATTCAAGGTGGGTGTTTCAGTGTTACAGCGAAGAAAGACTAAATTTAATAATAATAATCATCACCAAGCCAGATAAAGGTTCAGGAGTTTTGTTATGGACAAACAACACTATGATACTTCTTTGTCAGCAACAATAATAATAATAATAATAATAATAATAATAATAATAATAATAATAATAATAATGATAATGATATAATGATAATGATAATAATAATAATAATAATATAATAATAATAATAATAAAGAGTTCTATAGTAATCTCTCAGAGCGCTGTCACACACAGAAATGAATAAATAAAAAAAAGTCAAATTAAATATTAAAAAGATAATACGCATTTTTCATTGTCATACAATTGTTAATTTTTTCCCCTATTTTTTCCTTCTCATGTAGAGTATCACTGTAAACTTATTATATAGTCCTTAGAAATAAATAATAAAATTCTTTACACAGTTATTTACATAATTCCGGATGTTAAATTCATTATGTAAACAAGAAGTGATTTAATTAAATGATAAAATAATGAAAATTATATTAATAAATAATTGTGTTAATAATAAATTTACACTTGGTGCCTCATAACAATAATAGGTTATGTGAAGACTTTAATAATTGTAAATACGGATTCAATTTTTGTGCAATTGTTATTCAATAGTGTAACCATTTGTAATTTCAAAAGCATTGAATCACAAATTTAACCAGTTTGGAAGAAAGCTAATAGAAGTATATTTATAGCTTGTTATTAAGTGTCCAATATATTTCATCATCTATACTGTACGTATAATGCCAAGGCGAATGGATAGACATGGTGGTATATTTGTGACTAGTATAAGTGACCACCAGTGTCATATTACAATATCACAGTCAATGTGAATCAATAAGTATGTCATTCTCGTTAAAAAGCTGTCAAAATTATATTAAATAGATGGTTACCATGTTTGCCTGACTCCGTACTAATTGGTTCCATCACAATCTGTCCGTCAAGCAACCTGGTTGTTGATGCCAACAGTCGCACCAGGCCTACAATCTTTGATCATGTTTCTGGGTTAGGTATAGTCGAGCCTTCTTGAGTAGAGCGGCTGTAACACCATGTGATTGGAAGTAGGAGGCTGATCTTAAATAAACAATGAAATGATTGATTATAATTCATGGTGGTATTTCAATAGAAAATTCAAATTTTTGTTATTTCCTTAAACTATTAATTAATGGCCAATTCATAGACAGTCCATTTCTATAAAAGTTTTGGCGGTTCATTCTTCAATTTTACTTAGAGATTATTTTTAAATTTTAGCTTTTGTCATTCAGGCATGCTGTACTATCTGTGGTAGGTACTTACAGGTAGGTGTATTACTGTACATCAATAACCAGAGCATGGATGTTTTACTATTTGGTTTGTTAAATAATTCTGAAGCTTGGTTTCTATCCAGTGGCTACAAGCTTTCGCTGACAGCTTTCACAGTCATTGGTATAAGGAGGATGAGTATTAGTAAAAAAATATACACCCATGGCATTTTTAATTAAGAGCTTTGTTTTTTTTTTTATCGCAAATTACATTTTTGTAAGAGCATTTAATTAAAGAAGACATAAATAAAGGGATGTTTATTTGAGTAAATATGGTGTGTCAACAATTTGAATCATTATCCCCATTTTTTGTTTTTATTTAGATGGGTTTATTAAACTACTATTTTGAGTTCACTGAGACCATGGATCCACTTTGCCGAGGCTTTCTCTGTGTGCTTTCCTGTTGATGCTTCTTATTAGGTTGTCATGATATATTAAGGAAGGACTTATTAGCTACATAATGATGTCATGCTGTTGTTTTTATAAACCTCAAGACCTTGTCAACATACCCAATTCAGATTTAGTGTCAATTAAAATGTACAACAGTGGTAAACAATGAGAGTGGATTTTCAGATTGGAATGTTGATGTGCCTTGCCTTGGTTTCTTGTCCCACAGTCTGAGTTTAATCCTAGTAAAACTGATTTTTACTTCTACCAAAAGCAGTTCTACTTAGAAATCTCATCTCAAGTTCAAGTTTCGCTATTGTCACAATACATTGAAAGTTATTCTTCCTCTTTTTGTGCAGTTGTTTATTGTTTATGAGGGTCCATTGATTCAATGAATTCCTTAATTGTTCATATTTAATATTGAATTTGAAGTAACTTTCTTCGGGTCCTAATTAAGCTTGTTTTAACGAAAGTAATTTTCAATTACAGTTAAATTTTCATCGTGGTACGCGATGTCTTTGTGGTGACGAAAAAATGAGGATTTTTTTTTGCACACGAACCTAAAAAAATCAAGCCAAGCGTCCACTAATTGGAAAATTAGTGGACTGGGGGATAGGCAAACAACATTGGGAGTTGCAGTGATGACGTCACGATTGACTTATAAAACATGTTATTCAAAGGTGGGCCAGGAATACTGTATGTGCATATACCACATTTTAACACAGTATCTTTTGATCTATTGGCTATTGTCTTGTGAGCCTATCAAATCCCTGAACTGTTGGAGCTAGGAAGACCAGGGCTTTTCGCCAGATTGCTCTGGGCAGCTCATGGCCCTGTCTACTGCTGCTTTCTGAGAGATCTGGCCCCTATTGAGCAAATCCTGGTGCTTACCTACCACTGATTTTAGTTCCTATGCATGTAATGCAATAGGAACTATTGTATTCACTCTCACTGTTTTTCCTTTGTTTTTTATTGTGTGTAGTGTGTGTGCAGACATTTATGCAAATGCTCATGCGTCAAAGAAAAGTTTTCCGACATTTTGTTTTACCTAGCGATGCGAAGATCGATGAGAAGTTTCTGCAGAGTTCAGTCAGGGCTCACGCTAACCGATCGGCAAGTCGGCATGGATGAGACTATTTTGATTTAACGGCAAAAAAAATCAACTGCTGTGGCATAGGTATTTTGAAGAAGGCCTAAAATAAAACAAAAAGGTTTTAATACTTGCTAAAATACATCGTTTTTTCATTTAGATCTCCATTCTTCACTAACTCCATGCGACGTTTTTTTCTGTTGTATGAGTAGTCATATGAAGGTACTATATCCCCGACAGCTATGCAGCAATGTACCCTTTGAATGCAAACTGAA